CCAGGGTTGGACTCTTAGTCATTGTTGGCGGATCTTGAAAAAATTTCATACCCTAATAACAATGCCATCTTCCATTCCTCCCATGAGTCAAGCTTCACAACAAAGCCGCATGAGTCAAGGTTCCGATGGTTCTCCCATGGATCATGGCTATCAATCAACCCTACTGATAGACCTCAATGACATAGCAGGAGACAAAGAAACTCCATCCTTCGCCAGATCTCACCCTGCTGGAAGCGACAAACAGAAGGCGGCTAAGAAGAAAGGAGAAAAGGTTCTGATGAGTCAAGCTTCACAACAAAGCCTCATGAGTCAAGGTTTCGATGGTTCTCCCATGGATCATGGATATCAATCAACCCTACTGACAGACCTCAATGACATAGCAGGAGACAAAGAAACTCCATCCTTCGCCAGATCTCACCCTGTTGGAAGCGACAAACAGAAGGCGGCTAAGAAGAAAGGAGAAAAGGGGTTGTTGAGTCATCAGAGAGCTACACTACTGAATTGCTGGACTATGGAAGTGAGTTGAAGGAGAGACATGCTTTGAAGGCTGAGTATGAGCGAAAAAGGATGGAATTCCAATAAAAAAATCGAAGTGCGATGAAGAAAAGTGAGATCTTGAGAAAAGGGAGAGAGAAAAAAGTGGGAACTTGAGAAAAGAGAGAGGGAAGAAGTGGCACTATTTCAGAAAAACATTGATCTTCTTGAAAGGGATTTCTCGAAGTTGACACTAAGAAAGAGCAAATATTGGAGAAATAAGCAAAACATGCTTCTAGGGTATAATTATGATGATCCAACTCTATTACCACTATTCATCCAACGCAAGTAAGATTAGAGGAGAAAATGGAAGTGGAGGAGGAGATTACGGGAATTACTATTCTCTTATGGGCGATTATTGACATCTTATGTGTTTCATCTTTATCATTTCAAGTGTTGTGTGTAATCTTTAAACTTTATCATTTTCAAGTGTTTGTGTGTAATCTTTAAACTTTATCATTATCAAGTGTTGTGTGTAACCTCTGAGTTGTATCATTTGAACTATTATGTAAATTCCTTCAGCTTTATCATTTTCAAGTATTCTGTGTAAACCCAAATTAGGTCAATTAATTGTTTTCAAAAAAATTTGGTCTCGGAATTTAAAAAGTCGAAAATTTTGTCTTTAAAAATGATGACGAACTATAAAAAATTAACATAAACAAATTATATTAAGATAATTACAAGTACATTTTTAAGTAAAGAAAAACTTTAAAAAATGAGGTTTCAAATTTCGAGATCTAGGGCCCTTCCCCGGCTACTGGATCACTCCAGTGCTACGGGTACTACGGACCCTCTGCCATCCATTGCAGCAGAGCCGTTTCATGAGCCGGGGGGGGGGGGGGGGTGGCTAAGCGCAGTTCTTTGAATCAAACATTGAATGAAATCAATTCTTTTTTAGATATCAAAATAGAAATCGGATAAGATAGATCTATCTTTCTATTCATATATTTAACTAAAAAAAGGATTTTTATAGTTAAGTACCGTAACAAGAAGCCACAAATCTTTGATTTGACGCCAAAGGTAACATAGCCTAGTGGTGAAACTGGACCAATTGAGCTCTCAATGTGGGAGGTCCTGAGTTCGATTCCCAGTGACGCCACTTGAGCGTTCCCAGCGGTACCCTTGGTATCGGAGGCGACCCGATGTTGGTAACAGAAAGCTCTCGGGGCTGAGGTTTCCCTTGGTTATCAAATAATAAAAAATCTTAAAGCTCTCGGGGCTGAGGTTCCCTGGGTTATCAAATAATAAAAAATCTTTGATTTGACCAGGAAGGTAGCATTGAAGACACTATCCCACCAAACAGCTTTCACTAATACAACTTTCTAAGGTCATTTCCGTGAACCGCAAATGAGGTTCTTCAAAATCCATGACTTTGTATCATCTCCAGGTCCAGGGCAGGCGATTATCCTTCTAATTTGCCAACCGTCGAAGGAATGCCTCCCAACATTCTCAAGCCCTCTGCCCTCCCAAGTCTTGAAACCATTCTGGGCTTCTCCATCACTAAAGTAATCTCTTCGACGCTGCAAGCGCTGGACATTATATTTGTCTAATGACGAGGGGTCCCATTTAATCCCAATATTATAACCAGCTTATAATTTGTATCCCTTAGAACCAGTTTGACACGCTGAAGTCCGCGTAGCTTGCTGAGGTGTCTCTCCATATCGTGTCTAGTCTTACTCCATTCCTCCCTCTCGATTATAGTGGTAGGATCGTCTCTTTGAGCCTGCAATCCATGAAACGCATTACCATTGATCCAAACAATGAAGGAAACAAATTCAACCGGAGATGGTTGGACATGGGAGTAGTGTTACCGAGTCAAATTATTTTGAAGGAATTCCCATTATCTCGTATAACAAGCAAATCATTCTTTCTATCCCTGCTTCTCCCCGCCCGGAACAGTCACCTATAGCAACACATACATGATTACAGCAACAGATTACATGAACACACAAGGGTTCAAAGCAGAAGCAGATATAGATTACGGTTGTTTAGATTTACAGTAGCATTGAAGGATAGAAGCAAGGAATCTTCCATCTATATTATTAATGCTCAAGCCATTAAAACAAAAACAAATCGAGAGATGCAACGTTTTATCAGAACAGTGAAGTAAAACTCACACTAAAATTCATAAATAAAAGCTCACACTCAAAAAGAGAAAATTCCAACTTCCCAGTAATTAGAATGCAATTAAACTTTCTGCTTGAACTTAGGCAACAGGTTTTCATTCCATCATGATATGCAAGGTATTAAGATAAAGCAATAAGTCGCCTCTCCTTTCTTGAGATATCGGAAGGCTACAACAAGTGTAGAACTACTCAAGGAAGAACACTAAATCAAAATGCGCAAACGACTATCGGACCACCTAACTCGTGTATTTAAAAATTAACGTTGCATATGACATAAGATGTGATTGCCTAGTAAAGGTGCTCTCTTAAGTGAAATTATTCAGACCTACATTTCTAAAACTAAAAGAAACAGGGATCGATTTGTTTCACTTCATATCCGAGGGGAGTAGGCTTCAACCAGAAGTTAAAAATAATTGTCAACATCGTATTTCCTTCGTAGTGCTGATCCAGAAAGTGCCCATATAATTTTCCCACTTGTAAGAAATCAATTAGGCAAACTATAGAAGTGTCAATATGGGGAAGCATAGAAATAGAGTTAAGACAACCAGACTAAACTAAAATAACTCACCACTACTTTTGCTCTGGTTATGGATTTTGTTTTGGAATCTATAACGTAAACTTCCTCGAAGTCCAAAATAAACTCGGGATCTCCCTGCCTTCGGTTCCTGTAGTGCTTTGTCAAGAAAACCTTTAATGAAGAAAGCAAGAAACTCGAATCAGTAGCATGGGGCAAGAAACACATTGTGTGCAAAATGCAAGAAGCATATCCATGGAAATCAGAACTTACCTTCCATACCTCCCTATCGGATTTATACAATGGATCTCGGGGTGCATCAATGGGTGGTTCAGTCACGTTGTAACATCCATAGTTACTCTTTGCACATCGAATATACTGTAAGTTTTAACCAGAAGACATGACATCATCATCAGTGCGAAATAGGAACAACATTAGTTCATCAACCTCAAATTCAGACACCATTAGTGAAACAGAAAATCAGATCAGTTCATCAAACCCAAACTCATTATCTCACAGTACCCTACATCAATTGTTAATAACATGTAATTTATTTGTACACAAAGCTCGCATCAACGCAAGCTTAACGACGAGCTTGATGGCTCAACAATCCATATCAGGAACTCATAAATGAGTCACACCAAGAGATCAGACTACAATATGAAAGAGCTGGCAGCAGACAGTATCAAGCATTTCAGCAGTAACAAAAAGAAACCATTTCTCCTAACCAACCTACACATCACAAACAGTAACATTTCTGGCCAGTTAACTTTACCTTCTGCGGCATTGGACAAAGAACTCTGGGGATAGCATAAACATCAGTATCCGGCGGAGTAACATACATCTGCAAGAACAAACCACCAGTGTAGCCCAAGATATGAAAAATCAATTAAGAAACTAACCAATCATACAAATGAGGGAAGGCCTAGTAAGAACTAACCTCCCTGAAATCAAACACATCATCATCAGGGTCCGGCGGCTTCCTGATAAAGAAATCACAGTCATACAAGCTTATCTTGTGGAACTCCTCTTCATCAATTCTGTAATCAACGATCTTCTCCGAATGCCACCCCTGAGTAGACACGAAATTCTTGCTGGCAACCATCGCAATGTCGTCTCCATCGCCAGCCAAAGGATCATACTCCACATCATAATCCTTCTTGTTGTCCACTTCCTCCACCTCTTCGTCGTCCATGTCGTAATCGTCGGCACCGCCTCCATCGGCGTCGCCGTCGTCCGCCTTGGGCACGAACGCTCTCCGGTTTCTAGAAGGCAAATGGAAGTTCCAGCGGTGGTGCTCGAATTGGGAGGAAGGAGAAACTGCGATGCTGGACTTTCGGGCCGCGTACCTGGCTAGGGAGGGTCTTGGTGGTGGTGGAGTGAAGAGGTTGAAAGTGGTGACGGCTGCGGCAGCCATGAGAGAATGTTTTGTTTGGTGAAATTGAAAACGAAGGGGAGAGGAAGCGGAAGTCTGCGACTGAGCTCTTTGTAATTGTTCTAGCGCACTACTTCCATTTCCGCTCAAGCAGCTTTCGTTGAAGAGCTCTCCACCGCCGTTGCTCGTCGGCGGCTAGGATGGTTATGGAGAGAAGAGATAGCGCAGTAAGTGGAATGGAAACTGGGAAGATGAACAAGATATTGGAAATGGGCCGCGGATAAATAGCATCCCGTTTCGGCTGAGCCCAATAAAAAGCCCAAGACTTCTCGGGTCGGGTCAAAAAGAAGGGGAAGATCCGCTCCAGATTGGTAAACCCGCCCTTTTTCCCCTTTTCCCTCGCTCAAAAAAATTTCTCGCGAAGGAAAATGCGAGAAAATTAAAACAGAAAATATTTTCTCGTTTATTTCCAGTTAAACCCTCCGGAAGAACCGTTTCCGAGTCCCGCCCGCCTGCCCAGCGCTTCAGCTTTCTTCTTCTTTCTTGCTTCCGTCTCTCGGGAAAGAATTTCTTTCCCTTTCTTTCTACCCACTGACACTGTCTTCTCCTTCCTTCTCTTCTCTTCAGCTGGACTCTTGTCTCTAGGGTTTGTTCTTTACTGTCTCAGCTCTCGCCGCCTTCCCTCTCTCTCCTCTATGGTTCGCCAATTTTAGATTCTTCCAATTGCTTCAATTCTGTACCCTAGAGTTCGGGAGCCTCCAAATCTTAGTGCTCCGAGATGGAGGAAAGGAGCAGCGGCGCCGGCGGAGGAGGAGAGGAATCGTCTTCTTCCAGGACCACTCCTTCGTACGTGAAATTGGGGGACAGGCAGATTTTCACGGTGGAGCTCCGGCAGGGAGAGACGACATTCGTCTCGTGGAAGAAGCTGATGAAGATGCCAACAAGAATTGCAGTGGATCTGCGCCAGTTCCGGACCCGCCTCCTCCGGCCAACGTCCACCCGAACCTGGAGTCTCGTATTGCGCCGGTGAGTGCCTCATCATTGAAAGAGAGCATTATACGGTTTTTGGTGTTTTGCTCACCATGGACGTTTGTATATCTGTTACTTGTCTCTAATGTGTGGATAATTCGGGTGCTGTGGTGCCTGAGTAGCTGTGATCATACTATTAGCTGGTTCATTAGCTTCAGCAATGTTGGGCTAGGTAGAACCATGAATGGTCAAAGAACTCATTAATCTTGCTTTCCTGAGCAAGTTTCTTATATTATCATTGTTGTGCGTGTATAGTGAATGGCCATACGCGGTGAAGTTTTATTTCTAGGAGGATAATTGACCTCCTCCACTGTTCTGGGTTTGTTTTATACGGTGGGAATATCTGATGTGAACAGAAAAGTTGTTAGAAATCCATCTTATTGATTAGTTTCTTAGTACATCATGATTAACATATTACTGAATTCTTAGTGGTGCTTTTCCTTTGTCAGGGACAACGGGCAGATAATGAAGAAAATGATGATCCTCATCCTCATCGTTTCAGTGCTGTTATTGAGAAGATTGAACGCCTTTACATGGTAATATGTTGTCCCAGGTTTTACATAACAATGCAATTAAAATTATAAATGGTGATCCATAGTTGATGTGATCTGTTTCAGGGGAAGGATAGCAGTGATGATGAGGATTTGAAAGATGCCCCCGATGATGATCAGTATGATACAGAAGACTCTTTTATTGATGATGCTGAACTGGTTGGTATCTGTTCTGTTAAATTTCTTCAATGATATTTACAGAGTTGCTTTATGTTGCCAATAACAATTACTTTCCTCTGCAGGATGAATATTTTGAAGTTGATAATTCTGCAATAAAGCACGATGGATTCTTTGTCAACAGGGGAAAACTTGAGCGCATGTAGGTTTATCTCAAACCTGCTGTTTTTGTTTTTGTCTTTGTCATTTCTCAAGAATCTGTTGCTCGCCATGTATCCCCTTAGGGCTGTTGTACTATCCCCTATACATGCTTACTGTAGGGCTGGGGTTTATCTTGTGACAAATCTCTTAGGTACTTGCTTGAACTTAATGATTCCTTCACATGCTATTCAAGCTAAGTTAGGCTGTATGTGGCTAGCATCTTGAGTTTTTTGTGCATCAAAAGGGCGCAGAAGCAAATGTGAGATATTCAATGTTGTTCTAATGATGAGTGGTTAAGATTTTCAAGTTTGTAGAGTGATTGTAAAATTTAACTGGAGTTGATGTGCTAAAATCACCCTGAAACTTCTGTGCTTCTTGCCCATTACCCTTCATCACTTTCTTCTCTCCCATTTCAACAAGAAAATCTTATCAGTGTTCTGTAGTGCCTCATTGATGGTTTAATTTATTGGATCTATCAGTTCACCTAATAGAGCTGGCATCCCTGATTCATCAGTAATCCCAAGAGCAGTTATTACATCACATTAGATGATTGTGATTCATGTGTTGATTGTAAGAGAAGCGAGATTCATCAGTCTCAATGTTTTTGTTGTGACCTCATTGCTGTAGTAATTATTTTTACTTTCTCATGTTTCAGAAGTGAGCCTGCTGCTGTTCCTAACCAGCAACCAAGGAAAAGGAGGAGAAAAGATTTAAATAAGGCTCCTTCTGACAGTGCTGATGTTAATGTACCTAATAAAACATGCTAAGATTGGAAAATCAGCAGTTGGAAAGACGGTGCAATCACTTGGAAAGAACTCCTCTAGCCCCTCTCTGGATTTGGTTAGATCAGGGGGATACAAAGAAGATGTGAAGCCTCATGATCTATCTGGAACTTCTTCCAAGAAGAAATATGATGAGTCTAAACTATGCTTGGATCCATCTTCAACTTCAACCACAAAGACGTCAAATGGTGAGACTTCAGCATCAATGTTAGAAGGGAAGGATGTTCAGATGCAGAAGCCTGGAGGTCTCCAAGCAAAGAACCTTGCAAATAAGTCAAAAGATGCTAGTGGATCTTTTGTTGCTTCACACCTCAAACATCAGATTCCGGATAAAAATGCTTATGGACAAAATAAGTTGCAATCTGTAAAGCCTTTTAATAATGTTGAAGAACCTGAATCATCCGTCGATCAAAAGAAAGAAATGGCGTCAGAATACTGCCTGACCTTAATAGTGCTCCTGATGGAAAAATGCATGTGCATGCAACAGTAAGTGTACGGATTTTACAATCTGGTGCTCTGTTGTTTAAATAATTTGCATATCCCATCTGCATTAAATGACTTAGTCCTACTGGCAGTAGCTTTTTCTTTTGTTTTCATTACAAATGGTGATATATGTGTGGTACCTTTGTGCTCGATTACTCTGGGATTCCCGTTGAAAGTTATGGTTATAATTTTTTGTCTGGTCCTTTTTCAACTTGTGTTGCTCATGATAGCAGACATCAACTGTCCACAAAAGAGATGGTTCCACGTCCGGTCTAAAGGCTCAATTCTAGAAAAGGCCATCAGGGAGCTGGAAAGAATGGTTGCAGAATGTAAGCTGAGAAGTTGCTTTCCACTATGTAAATCTGGACCTTCTACTGGTTGAGGCTAAGGTGTTCTACGTTTTATGACTATTGCAGCAAGGCCACCTGCAATTGACAATCAAGATGGTGATGCTTCGTCCCAAGCAATTAAAAGAAGATTGCCTAGAGAAATAAAGCTGAAGCTAGCCAAAGTTGCCCGACTCGCGGTATCACCTTGAACTAGTTATTGCTTTTTCTATTGATAATCAGGTCTTCTGGTAAAGTTATCTTGCAATTTCAAAGTTTATATGTAAGGTTAAAGAAGAACAATGTTTAAGTGTCTTCAATAGTTTAATGTTTAAACAAGTATTGAAGCTGATGTTATACTTCTTACTTTTCATGGTTACTTCAGGCAAGCCAAGGGAAAATGTCAAAGGATTTAATAAATCGCCTCATGAGTATCCTGGGTCACTTAATACAGCTCCGGACTCTGAAGGTATCTGTTGGAATTCTTATCAACAGCTCCAGTTCTGGTTCTTTTTGTGTAACCTCTCAAGCCTACTTCCTGTATGCCCACAACAATGACATTTGGGGGTGGGTGGTGTTGAGCCTATGATGGTTGAGCGTACTGTGGCTCATTTAAGTCGTATTGGTCACTAACTGTCAATTGTAGACAGTAATAGGTCACAATTCTTAACATATAGAATTTAATCTAGATTAGTCAATGTTGCGTTGACTATGAAACCTGGTATTATCTTTCCCAATTTTGGCCGCATTCTACTTCATAGCTTATGTACATATGCTGTTTTTTCTTCTCCTTGGAGAACCATTAATAACACAACCTGGTGTTTCATGCAGAGAAACTTAAAATCATGGTAAACTCAGGGTTGTCAGCAAAGCAAGAGAAAGATGATAAGTTTCAAGTGATAAAAAAGGAAGTTGCTGAGATGATCAAGACTCGTGTCCCAGCATTGGAGTCCAAGGTATGAACTCCAGACTCCCCCTTTCTCACCAGCCATACATTTGCTTTCATCATTTCTTGGTTTCTTCACAGAATGTTCCGGTAAGAATTGAGAATTTATTCAAAGAACTGAAGTAGAAACTCCTTGTGCTACTTTCTTCACCTTCCTTTTTTGTTCGTCTTTTTTCTTTCCCCTCTTAAGTTTTGCATGGTGGGTTAGATGAGGAATATCTTGCTAGCCATGGTGCTGTTTCCATTCTCATCACCTGCATGATAAAATTACCTGCACCGTTGGCCAATGGATGATAAGATTTTACTTGTAGCTCTATGGGTAAATTTGAGTTAAGTTTCACCAATTTTATTATCAGGCTATGGAGCAACAAGCTGGAGCATCTGATGATTTTCAAGATCTTAATTCAGAAAACAAAGGAGTTGTGAAACGGAAATTCAGCATGGATGCTGCGTTGGAGGACAAAGTTTGTGATCTCTATGACCTTTTTGTTGATGTACGGATAACTTCTAACGATTTCCTTCGGCTGGTTTTCAAAAGCTTCCTCTTTTTTCCCATGTTGTGTGGTCCACTAACTCTTTGATGATTCTAGGGACTGGATGAAGATGCAGGTCCACATGTCAGAAAGTTGTACATGGAGGTTGTTCATCTACCGTTATTTTCCTGTTTCATTTTATGCACTTGACTTCAGTATTTTCTTGAGTGGAGCTTGCATTTGTTTTCAGTCTCTATCGTTCACCTTCTTTCCTTGTGAAATATACTTCTTGAATTTCTGTCATTTTGTGTGCCTGTGGGTCCTTTCTGTTTATGGGTTACCGATCCAAATATTTGCTCATTTGGTCCTCTGGGCTTGTCATCTACGTTTCAGCTTGTAGGGCTGTGGCCAAGTGGTGCCATGGACAATCATGGCATTAAAAGAGCAATATGTCGGGCAAAAGATAGACGAAGGGCCATTTACAGCCGAAACAAGGTAGTATGGTCTCTTCACATGCTGCCTTTTCATGATTCTTGTTCTTAAGGTGACAAACAAGTATTAAGTGATTCTGGTTTACCGTTGCTTAGTACTTTTTGTTGAAATCTTTTGTAGGAAGAGGAGAAAATCAGAGGGAAACAGTTAATGCCAGCTAGACCGGAGGAAGCTGTCCGACCTGGTCCGAGTACAGCATCCCAGACGCAGACACAGACGCAGATGCAGCAGCACGCGCGTGAGAGATCGACTAGCGATACAGGTGGTGGACCTGTGTTGGCTTTGGCTAGCAAGCCGATGTCCGGTCTGTCAGCGATCACTCAGGGAACCAGTAGCAGTGTCTTGGCAAGTGCCCATAATCCGGAGAGGCCAAAGCAGGACAGGGCGAAAGGAAGTGTTTCCATGGAAGAAACGAAAGCGGGATTTGCTGCTGGTGAGGGAGTTCCGTTGAAGAAAAAGGTGAAGAGAAAGCCAGAAGCTGAACTGGATCAAACCCACCTCCGGCCAGAGAAGACTTATCTGCAGTCGAGCGATGAAAGACACAAGTCGGTTAAGGCTGCTCCAGTGGTTTCCCAGAAGCTAAGCCTTCAATCTGCTGTCCTGCCGCCGCCTCACAGTTTCGAACAATAACAGATTCAAGTACAGTTCAATGAGACGTAGCAAAAGGAATCACAGCCATCATTGTAACAGTGCTCCTTTCTTCTTTTATTTTACTTTTGGTTTTTAGAATTTTTGGTCGCCTTCGTTACAGGGTTTCACCATTCTGACTAGCTGATTTTTCTTTCTTAAGTTACAATTTTTGTAATTAAAGGTGAGGTGTTAGTTATGTCTAAAATCTTGGTATGGCAGAATGCTCAATGCCTTTGTAGTTTGTTCACTTCGTGCAAATGTACTGTTTGAGATGTGGCTCAAACAAATAATTCCGATTTCTTATTAAGTCTCTAGTTTTTCTTTTTCACTGTTGTTTCCTTTCTATCTCATTTTTTTCATTTTCACGAGTCTGCACTATTTTAAGGTTTCAAAGCCTTTTAGTGTAACAGATAATGACTACAACTAATAATTTTACTGAGTTATGAGTACAATATTTGTAAACACAAGGCTAATTCGGCTCAATTACACGTTTGGTCACTCAAATTATATAAAATTTTCACGTTTGACACCCGAATTACTTTCTTTCTTATTCGCCACTCACTTTACGAATCGATTGACCGTTAGTCACTGGCTGTTACACTCCGTAAAATTTGTCCTACATGGCAATCAACTATAAAGTTTGACCGTTAACTAGATGATGTGGAAATAAGAAAAATAAGAATTTATTTTTTCATCTCATCATTCCACTTACTTTGTCTATATGGTTTATCATATTAATGATTTAATAAAAATTAATAAATAAAAAATTAATTTTGCGAAAGAGGGGCTTCTCCGCGCCATCCATGGCGGCTCCGGAAACAGGGACTTCTCTCCTTACACCAATTTCTACTCTCCCAGAAACAACCCTGTCGTTACGAATTCAGAGCTCGCTCCTAAAGAGGGCGGGCTACGACGCAGCCGGCTGCGCAGAAGAGGAAAAAGGATCAGTACACTGATTCTGGCGCTGGTCCAGCTACTAAGTCCCCTGTTTTCCTCTGCTTATTATATTGAAAATTGAAAATTTGGGGTTTCCCCTGTTCTCCTACCCTGTTTTGGGTCTGTTCAGAACACAAATGGTGGGACGACCGCCAATTTGTTCGTTTTGTGCATGAATCTGCTTAACCAACTCCTCCACAATCTCATTTGTCCGCTTGAGAACTCCATAAGCAACCGCAGGCATTCTGATGTACTTGGGTGACTTGGGAATCACATTTACCTTCAAATACCACAACTTTGGAGAGAGATAAAACTAACAGCTAATTGGAATTTCTTCTCTCATCTTTCAGGCTTTTAAGATACCCACCAACAGTCAACACACCCTTTAAGAGCAACGCTACAAAAATGCAAAGGCCACCACCGGAGGATTTTCTCCTGAAGGAGATCAACCCACATTTGGGAGGCGGGAAGATCACGGGCGACAAGCTTACAAACACCTATGACCTCGTCGAGCAGATGTAGTATCTTTATGTCCGGGTTGTCAAGGCCAAGGACTTGCCTGGGAAAGATGTCACTGGCAGCTGGGATCCTTATGTGGAGGTCAGTCCTCGGTTCTGGAGGTTACTGTCAAGGATAAGGACTTTGTGAAGGATGATTTCATTGGGCGAGTTCAATGCGATTTGAATGAGGTCCCAAAACGTGTTCCTCCAGATAGTCCATTAAGGCCTCGGTGGTACAGGTTGGAAGATAGGAAGAGTGACAAAGTAAGAGGGGAGCTGATGTTGCTTGTTTCGATGGGGACTCATGCTGACGAAGCCTTTCCTGAAGTGTGGCATTATGATGCTGCAACCGTGAGTGGAATGGATGCTCTTGCTAATATTCGATCCAAGGTTTATCTCTCTCCAAAGTTGTGGTATTCGGGGTAAATGTGATCGTAGCTCAGGATCGGTGGACAAATGCTTATTCTTCTCCTGCGCAGCCGCGACTGCTGAGTCGGCGATGACTCCGTCGGCAGCCCGCCGTATTTAGGAGCGGGCTCGGAATTCGTAACGACAGGGTTGTTTATGGGAGAGGAGAAGACCCTGTTTCCGGAGCCGCCATGGATGGCATGAAGAAGCCCTCCTTTACTCAAAATTAATTTTTTTTATTTTTTATTAAATAATTAATATGATAAACCATATAGCCAAAGTAAGTGAAATGATGAGGTGGAAAAATAAGTTTTTTTAATTTTTTTAATTTTCACATCATCTAGTTAATGGTCAAACTTTATAGTTGACTGTCACATAGGACAAATTTAACTGAGTGTAACGGCCGGTGACAAACGGTGAAACGATTCGTAAAGTGAGTGGCGAATAAGAAAGAAAAGTAATTCGGGTGGCAAACGTGAAAGATTTGTATAATTTGAGTGACCAAACGTGTAAATTAGCCGGCTAATTCTATTAGAACACACCAACTATTACAAAGTTCACTTTTATTCTAATGTATTCAATACGAAATGTGCTAAAGTATGATGTAAATTAGCCGGCTAATTCTATTAGAACACACCAACTATTACAAAGTTCACTTTTATTCTAATGTATTCAATACGAAATGTGCTAAAGTATGATGTTTTAAGTAATATGCATCCCAAATATTTGTTGAGCGTAAAGTTTATCAGTTGACCTAACGGTAGTCAAATGTGTGCTTGACTATAATGACATTGATGCTTACATGTCAACCACGTCTGCAATATGTGTAATTTTACTTTTATTGAAAAACACAGAAAATCTCATCTCTTGTTATCTCCACCGTCCTCGCATTCTCTTCCTAGCCCTAGTTCAACCGCCCTCTAATCCTCTTTCCAGCCCTAGCTCAACTGCTGTCGGAGCAATCCTCCGTACAATAACTAAACTTAGGGTTTGGATTGTCGGAGGCACCCGCCAGGGAGACCCTCCATCGCCATATTTATTTATGTTATGTTCTGAAGGACTAGCGGCGTTCACAAAGGCAGCAGCGACAGAAGGTAGCTTCCACGGTATCCAACCTGTGAGTGGAGCGCCGAAGGTTACCCATCCGTCTTTCGCTACCGAGTATGTATTTTTAGGTAGGCTATATGCACAAGAAAGCCTTAAGCTCAAAACCATCCTTAAACCATATGAGCAGGAGTCAGGACAACTTGTGTGATTTCAGAAATTGGAGGTGTCATTTAGCAGAAATGTGAAGCCGCACCAATGCCTTATTGTTAGCGGCACACTCGAAATGAAGGAGGTTGAGAAACACAATAAGTATTTGGGTCTTCCAACATTTGTGGAGAGATCAAAGAAGGACATTTTCCAAGGCTTAAAAGAGCGGGTAAAGAAGATGTTAAAGGGGTGAATGAGAAGGTTTTATCGGTTGCAGGACGGGAAACACTCATAAAAGTAGTTGATTGGAGAAGCGGGTGCATTGGGTGAGTAGGGAAGGACTGGTGGCGGCGAAGGAGGACGGGGGTTTGGGGTTCCTATATCTGGAGGGATTCTAACACATCATTGCTTGCTAAGCAATTATGGCGGCTACAGAAAAGACACATCTCTCTTATCGGTCACATCTAATGATCTAAATACCACAAGAAAGATAGCATCCTTGACGCTCGTCTCGGACACAAACCAAGCTTTTTATGGCATAGCTTGCTGAGCGCTCATGAATTTTTGAATTGTGGTTTGCGATGGAGGATTGGCAAAGGGGTGAGTGTGATTTGGGGGGATAAATGGCTGCCTACTACGAAGGGAGGTTCTGTTGACTCACCTTCGATGGGGCTCCCTGTTGACAGCTTGGTTCGTGATCTTATATGCCCGAAGGAAGAGAGTTGGACGAAAACCTCCTCCACAGCTGCTTTCCCACGGTGACGGTTGAGCTGATAAGGCAGATTCCCCTCCAAGACATTGGGGAGTAAGAGTGCTTGATATGGCCGGACAATACGCTAGGAGACTACACTGTCAATTATGGTTATTACAGATGGGTTCAAGACGTATTGAGCAGGGATAATTCGGGAGTTTTGGTGATATTGCTATATGGAAAAAGTTATGGGGACTACAGGTACTGCCGAAAGTGAAACACTTCATGTGGAGGTTCGTGCGAGATGTGCTACCGACGGATGGCCATATTCGTACTAAAATTAAAAAGTGGAGTGAAAAATGTACATTTTGTGGCAACCGAGAAACGCAGACTCATGTCTTTGGGGAATGTGAATGGTCTACTCGATTGTGCCAGCCTCGTCCATTGCTTTCTTTTACGTGGACAGAAGGATTGCTATGGTTGGGCTTCGAAGAATGAAAAGTGGAAACAGTGGAAGAAACTTCAATGGAAGCGTGGGTAGCCCTTTTGTGGTTCTTGTGGAAAGAGAGGAACTCACATATGCTCAATGGGAAGAAGCTCTCGAAGGGTGAAATAGTTGGCATAGTAAACTCCTTCCTACTCGACTACCAACATCAACAACAAAAGAATGTTGACGAAGTTGCGCAAGAGGCTAGGAGGGGATGGACGAAACAAAACTTTGGCCAGATAAAGATCAACACGGATGCTGGAATTCTAGAGGGCGGCGGAGCTGGTCTTGGAGCGATAGCTAGAGACGATACTGGCAAGTGTATTTTTGCTGCAGCAAAGAAGATCACAGGGGCCTGGGAACCGAAGATGGCAGAGGCTTTGGCAGTCGAGTTTCAAGTTCGCCTCTAGTCGGGAAGTACAAACCCAGTTTTGGAATCTGAATGTATCGCTTATGCAGAAATTGGATGATGCAAGGCTAGTGCAATTCAAAATTGGGGTGATTTGTTTAAGCATCCGCCGATATTTGCAGGACATGGCGGCTACGGAAACATTGGCATAGGACGAGTAATAGTGCAACACATTTAATGGCCCATTCGGAGACATGATGGAATGAACGAGTGGTTTGGTTGGAAGACCTCATGTTTTTATTATTGATCAGTTAGAGTTGGATAATGTAACCGCATCCGCTGATTAATAATAGCTCATAACAGTATTTGATAAAAAAGTATTTTCGGAGGCACATGCGGAAGAGGATGAGCTAGATTCAGAAACTCGCCACCGCCTCAACC